CTTCTGGGGGTTTAGGCCTTGTTTTGGAAAAAAAAAACACCAAAACAAACAACAAACCAAAACACCCAACCCTGCGGTTTCCGATTTATGGTTGGTTTTGACCTTTCTCAGCAGATTTCCTCACGGTCGGTCCCTCAGAACTGTGCAGAGGACTTGAGTGTCTAAACGTGTGAATGCATGAGCACTGAGGAGCAGAAGCTGGTTCTGGTTCAGGTTTTTTGATTTTAATTTTTTTTTTTTTTTTTAATAGTAAGCTGTTTGGGAGGGCTGCTTGCACAGATTTCAGTCGGACCTTCAACCAGGGGATGACGAGCACCTGTGGTGGAATCCTTGCTCCGAAAGCTCTGGGAGCGCGCATCACTACCAACCTTGTCCCGGCCTGCGCTGGCTGCATCGCGGCCGTCCCCTCCGCCCGTCGGTGTCTCACTGGGGTCGGCCCGAGAGGAAAACAAGTTCAGGCTGTTCCAGCGTTTTCCGTGACATTATTTCTTCTCTTAAAGCCAGCACCGGTGTCGTTTCGCTGCGCTGTAAACAGAGCAGTTGGCTCAATTCTCTTTCCTCGTGGTGACACAGAGGAACAGATAACCCAACCAGAGCGAATTAGTTGTTTTCATAAAATGTTGTTGCACAAACCATATTTGCATTACCAGCGTCTAAGCAAATTGTCAAACCAAGGCAAGAGCAGCGCATATCTGTTCAGCTGTAAGACTCGACGCAGTCCCACGCTGGGGCCCGGTGCTGAAGTTCTGTGTTGAAGAGAGGCCGTGACACCGTGAAACCAAGAGAACATATGAACGCAATGAAAAATGTAGGCTGTGCTCCGTGCCCGAGTCCTCTGTGCTGTGGTCACGGGCAGCAGCATCACGTAACCCACACGGGTGGGCTGGCTGCACGCAGCGGGCTCTGCGGTTCCTGGGGAGCGGTCACGAGCCCCGACTGCCGAGAGGCTGCGGGGTGAAAGCACCATGGTCGTGGCTGGCGGGCGCACCATGGTCGTGGCTGCTGTGAATTTCTCATGAGCCAATACAGCTCTGTGTGTTTGTTGATATATGGAACCGTTTGTCCGCATGAATTTACTCACAGACAACAACACTGCAGCTATGAAAAGGCCAAGGTTTGTGCGAGTTACAAAGTGGGAAAGGGAGCTCGGCAAGTGAGAAACCAGCGAGACCCTTCTGGGGGTTACGTTCTGCTGCCTGGCCCTGATCTAAAACCTGCCAGCTTGAAACTTTACCCCGATTTTCAACTGTGTTTGATCTTCCTGACGTGTTCGAGGCTCTTGTGTGCATCGCTCTCCTCAGAATATTAAAACTGCCTTTAGCATATAAACACCACTAATACCCATTTTTGCAAATATGCTTCCATTAGTATTAAATATGTAAACACATTTTAAACTCTTTGGGGTTTTTTTCTGCTTTTTCTGGCTCCATCGGATCAATTTATTCCCTGCTAAGAGTGTTCTGTGGCTTACCGTCCCTTTCCTCTTAATGACCTTTTGCTTTTCGAATGAAAGGAAAAGGAAGTCTTGGCAAAATATTAGCAAGAATATTCTAATTTCATTCACAAAATGTGGAAGAGGAGCAAACTTTTTGAAATTAAGCACATGCCTTGTCCAGTCAGCATCCCCCAGCTTAATCACACACATCCTATTTGTCTTCTTTTGACAGATTTATTTTAGCAGCTTCTTTTACCAAGTATCTTCTGGGCATTAAAAGCCCAGTGCTACACTGGGCCACCAACCACTCCTTATTTCCTTTACTTCCCTCTGCTTTGTTGTGGATTAGGCAAGAACACATTTTCTGTTATTGTACAATTTACAACTGCCTTTTGTTCAATAGCGCCCTGCTCCAAATTAGACTCCTACTGGGTAAAAAGACCAACAGCTTGCCTCATTCGTGGAATCAGCTAGAACAGGAGTCAGAAAAATCGAGTATCTGGGGTTTCCCCCTGGAAATTGGGGGATATTAATATATTTGCTTTCTGGACCAGGTTGGACCTAGAGAGCTGCAGCTGTTCTGGGACATCTGTGATGATCTTATAGCTAAAGCACCCATGTAAGTGTGGGGTATAAGACATTTCGGTTTAGATGTATGCCCATCTGTGGAAGCCTACTTCATAATTAACTTAGACTGAAAAATAGGTGCTCTGTAGAGAAAACAAAGCAAGCAAGCAGAGAACAGAAACACTGCGTAAATTCAAATGTTCAGGAGTTCGCTGAGCTCTGTTCATTTTTTTCACTTCAGATAAGGCAAGCTAAAGGGATGATTTGGACGGACAAACAATTCAGTATTTGCCTTCAAAATAAAAATATAGATCACGATGCCTGTCTTCCAAGAGGACAGTCCCACTGAATCCCAGCCGACAGTTCAGCGAGGGCTGGCAGCGGCATGTTTCGTTATCCGAGCCTGGCATTGCTGCTGCGAGGAGCGCAGCGCGCAGCTCTCCATGCCAGCCTGCCCTGCTGAAAAGGATGATTTACAGGCGTAACACAGTAAATTAGCATGGGGGTCTGCCCTTTTCAGTCCCTGAGCTAGCTTTTGTACAGCTACACAGCCTGGGCTTTGCTCTGATGTTATGCTGCTGTTGAAATTAATTAATGAATGCTGTAAATGAAGGAGTGCGAGCTGGGAGCTGCATGTGAGTAAGTGCAGTGAATCAGTGAGAGTTCAGAGCGAATCCACCTTGGTGTAACGTGTGTATTGAAGGAGCGAGAGGAAAGCATACAGCGGTGCATCAGCGTGAGCACTCTCTGGCCTCCCTTGGTCGCATCTCGCTTCCGAGTCCAGCCTAGCAATTCTTGCGTGGCGGCACAGATCCCTGACGGCGGGGCAGACAGCTTGGGCACGATGACTGCAGTGCTCGAAGGAGTCATTGAATTTCAGTCTGGGATTTCCCTGCAGGAAAATGACGTGATGATATTCTTTCTAAGGAATTTGCAGAGAAGAGTCAGAGACAGGCAAAAAAAAAAAAAAAAAAAAAAAAGCCAGCCTGCCTTCTAAAATGCTAAAAATAGCCTTTTGCGTGGTAAATGATTCTATGATTCTAGGAAAGGCAAAAGAAGGGACTTCACTGTCTGTCATGGAGCTGGATGGTTTCATAAGCTGAAACAGGCTTTGGATAGATTTTTGAATCTAATTTTTTTTGAACTCTCAGTCAATGTTTTCTTTTTGTGGATTTGGAATTTTCAAGACTGAAAGAGCTATATTCCCTTTCTCAGCAGTTTTGGAATTCTTTGAACCAAGAAGCTGAGTACTCTTGTATTTGTTTTCTAATTATGAAGACGTGCTCACACTATCAAACGCACAAATTCCTTTATCATAGAAGATCAAACCACCAGCAAATTTTCATGAGACTGTGGTTATCACTCCAGTTTGAGAATAAACCTAGCTGAGAAAGTTATTTGGAAATCATAATTTTATAATTGATCTGGGCAGGCTTTATGATGGAGTGGTGATCATGCAGACAAGAAGAGAAGTTTCTTGGGAGACAAAGCTCTCATGAGAATAATGAAAATGTTTATCTTATAAAAGGCTTGTCAGCAACATATGTTTTGGGCATTTAAGCAAACAATTTGGAAATTTGTTGAGAAAGTGGCATGAACTGGACAACAGCTTGGAAGAAGCGAATGGCAAATCGAG